CCCCAAAACCCCAAAACCCCGCATATTCTGGATAAATATCATGATAACCATAAATATATTTTAATTAAATATATTAAAAAGGCAATAATGTATAGCGGCTCAAAACCTAAATCATGGAATCAGTCATTCTCATTTTAGAATTAGCAGTAAGAGGATCATCATGCCTACAAAGATCAAAATTAATATCAAGCTCCAGCACCTGCAAAGGATCTTAATTAATATCTTAATGACCTCAAGCAGTTGGCCAGGCATAAGAAAGCAAAGCTTTCTAATAACTAGTCTTCACAATAGTAATATCAATTGAATATGAGTTTAGGTGGAGGAGTTTAAAAAAGCATGAACTAAAGACAAAAACATTATAATACTAAGACTTAGTAAAATATTTCCATTAATCGAGATAATAGCAGGAAAAGATCTAGCTAGAATAATTAAAATTATAGAACAAACTTCAATCCTCCTCGGTAAAGCTTTGAATATAAATCTAATACATCAAATCAATTGAATTTAAGTTAAAAAAGACGCAGATAGCATCAGCCTTCCACAATGAATGAAAGCACAAAAACAACTAACAGCTTGCTGATGAATTCCTTTACAAATTAGCTTATTAATCAAAAGTACAGCAATATTATGCAAAATGAAGAATCTAATGAAGAGGTGGCACTGAAAAGATTCATGTCTGGAATAAGATCAAATGAACATAATCAAAATTAGAAGTCTTAGCAAAACTAAAGCTATCAAGGCAATAAACGCTCTCAATCAAATAAAGTCTTTTAGGCGAATAACAAAAATCAATTGATATAAAACATCATCCTTAACAGCAGTTCTTTCAGCAGTATGAAGAGGAAACCATCACCATCTATGAAAAAGAGTCTTAATAAGCAGTCATAGAATATGGCTAAATTTAAGTGCTATATTGATTCAATTTTGTCCTTAAATACAAGTCCGAATAGATCTACTAAGTATAATACTAGTATGAAGAGAGATAATTAAAATAAGAAGCAAAAACGACCTCAATCAGAAAACAAATCCTTGTAAAGAATGACCAGGTAAGATTTACTCTAAAATGAAATAAATAAGGTGGAGATAAGTCCAGAGTAAATTTTAAACCATAGCGATGCTTTCTATCAGCTTAATTAAAATACTTCCAAACCTTTAAGCATTCCTTTTATCTAAAATATGGATAACTCTAATGGATTTTCTTATTTCAATTAGAATTCGGAAGAGGATCAAGTTATTAAGCAATAAAAATTATATTAAGCTTAAAATCAGCAAAGTAAGAGCATAATCCCTTACAATCAAATTCAGAATAACTATCCAGTAGTATTGAATTCTACTAAATCAACAGAATTAAATAGTAATACTGGTAACGGCTATGTAACTTCTCTTGAGCCTAAGAAGTACTTCACAAATCAGCTTAACTCAAACACTCAGAATAGCAATACTCTCTACTCATTGCAATATATCTAGCAGATGCAGTCTAGTTCACTCAACTAAAATATGCTGATGAATCTTAACTAGAATAATAATGGAGTAACTGTGAGTGAATCTCTAAACAGATGTGATATTGGGAGTCTTAGTGGCAATGATTTTAATAATTAGTTGATCTTTCAATCTTAGCAAGTTAAAAATCTTAATCTAGAAGAAATACATTACTCAATCGTTAAGAATCTACAACTATAAAGTAAATTAGCTTTTGAAAAGGATAGACCTCATCTTAATCAGGAAGAATTCCAAGATATGGTCTAAGAGGAAGAATCTCAAGTATAATTTGATATAACAAATAGTGGCAGGAAAAGAGAGAAATCTAAGAGTAGATGTTAGAAAAGAAAGAACTCCGTCTCAGTAATATACTTAAGTGGAAACGAGGTTATAGGAACTGACAGATAGTTTCATTGAAGGCTTTAAAGCTACTAATTGCTTTAATTTGTATTCCTACATAATTTATCGATATAAATCTAACCTTTCTAATTTGTAACGATATGTGAGGGGTTTTGGGGTTTTGGGGTTTTGGGG